CCCCCGCAATTCCACAATAAAATCTTAAAAAAATTAATTAATTTCAAAGCCACACAAATAAAGCTGCCTTGATCTATATGGCATCTTTATGAAAAAAAAATTTCTTAACTCTGTGATCAGCATAATGGAAGACACTCAGATACAGTTTTTCTTTCCATATTTCCACCTGCGCATGGACTCCCACTCCTTCTCCGGGGAAAATCATCACTATCACCTTGGTGAGGGTCCCAAAATATTTATTATGTCTTGCATACGTGAGAGTTACATATAAAAATCAATAGTCTTCTTTTGTGTGGGGGATTAATCTGAATGGGAGAACCTATTCATGTGTATTGAATTTGGCTCTTTTTCCACTGAGCAGTGTGTCTGGAAGATCTATCCACATAACTGTCTATAGATCTACTTCATTCTTTTCAATGGCTAATTTGTATTCCATGGTTTAAATATAACAACAAAAAATTACTCAGATGTTTTTAATGTTTAGACCACTATACCCCGAGGGTAGAAAGTTACCTCCAATAAGATATATGTTGCACTCCTTTGCTACTTCAGAAAGCTTCTGTGTGGATTCACCAGGAATTTTCTCTGCATATTCAGGAAAATAGTTCGTGCCATATGGAGAATTAAAGCATTCCTAGAATAGTGTTGGCAGAGGAAAAAAAAACCATCAAAACACCCAACCCACTTTAAAGTTATGCTGTAAGAAGACATAGTTGCTGCCTCCAACTCTGCTCTCAAAGGAATAAAACACCACTAGTGAGAAAACACTGACGGCCCAGGGCTGCAGAGCCTGTGGTCACAGGCAGGACTCAGCAGCTGGCTCAGGTGGGGCTGGAGAAGTCCCGAGTGCTCATCCAGATCCTGGTCACCTTGGCAGAAGGCCGGAGGGAACTGCCTTTCCCTGGAGTCTGCAGGACAGCTATGCGTGTCCGCCTTGGGCACCCATGCCCCGCTACGACTGGGCTTACTCGCAGGGCTTTGGGAGTTAGGAGGAATCCATAGGCTCAAAATTGTATTATTAACATGTAAAGCAATAAGGCCTGTGTTTGGAAAAATACAGCTTTGAAAGCCATAGAGGTTAAGATATTTTCTCATCTGTAAAATGAGCTGTTTCTAAGCTCCCTTCCAGCACTATCATTCTAATCCTGCAAAATCTCTCATTCCCCAAGATGTCTGTCTTCAACAACTCTATGATAAAAGAAAAACCTACCAGACTTCAACTCTAATTCATTCATTTAAAACACACTTATTGAGATTGCCCACACACTGTGCTAGGGAACTAAAGCGCAAGGATCCCTAGCTTGTTCAAAACACGTGTTAGGTAGAGCGGCACATGCTGAATTCAAGTGCTTTTCACTCTTGGCCTTTAGACTCTGATCTCTGGCAACATAAACCAGCAAGAGATCATGATTAGGTGAGTTCCCGGACTGGAGCTGTAAGGACGACTGTTTTAACATTAAGATATCAAGCTCCCTTGTTAAAGATTTCTACTTACTGGACACATCCGTGATGGCCTGGAGCCTGAAATACAAGATGGCCCTGAAAACGCTCCAGTCCATCTAAGCAGGGTAAAGGGCTGCCTCCTCCCCATGGGGGTGGCCATGTGGAACAGTCCCACTGCAGCCCCAGTGGGCCTTTGCCAGCGGGAGAAGCCAGTAGATGCACATTCTGACACGTGCAGGGCCCTTCTGTGGAGCTAACCCCCTATCTGCTGACAAACAAATGTGGTGCAACCTTCAGCTGGTTTTGTTTGAAATCAAAAAAGAAATCAAGCAAAGAGATGCAGAATCCTACTGGTTTACTACAGGCTACCACATTTAGGGAAATGTGGTAGCCTATAATAAGCCAGCAGGAGGCCACAGGCTTCCTAAATGTCTCTAACAATGTTCAGTTTTCAACTTTTTAAATGTTGGAGTCTTAGCTTTAAAATCAATACATCCTGGTCCTGTAAAGGCTTAATTATACGAGGAGGAAGTATCTGAGGCACTGAGTATTTTAGCTTTTAGGTAAAGCCCTCAACCTATGAGGATTGTGAACAGAGCAGGTGATCCTAAAGTTAAAGACCTGTAACCATGTTGGCATGTCTACCACAAAGACCCCTGCTAGGGTCATCTTCCAGACAAATATGGAACAATCCTGGGGCCCCAAAGGACCTTGCTAGACACTGGACACGAGGCAAACCACAGCCGGCAGACACTAACTACTCAGCTGGGTCAACAGTTCCCAGAAAGGGGCAGCTGCCTCCATACTTACTGGCAGAGAAACTATTTTGGCTCCTTGCATGGCCGCCTTCCGGACAAGGCCACAAGCTCGAGTGAGATTATCTGATTTGATGGAAGAAACTTGAAGTTGGATGAGGGCCAAACGGAAAGCTGAGGATGAAGAGAAAACAGATGCCAGAAGATCTGACTACTGAATCAGAGAAGCAGTTCTCAACTCAAGGGCAATTTTGCCCCCTACCCCCACCCCCAGACATCTGGCAATGTCTGGAGACATTTTTGATTGTACTAAGTGGTGGGTGGGGTGCTATTGGCATCTAGTGGGAAGAGGTCAGAGACGCTACTAAACCTGCCACAATGTATAGGGCAGCCCCTCACTACAAAGAATTATCCAGTCCAAACCGTCAACAATGGTGAGGTGGAAAAACCTTGAGAGAGAGTAACATCCACGGGCACAAGAACCTGAGAAGTCGGCAGGCCAGCTGCTTACTTACAAATGAGAACATGGCTATAAGGAAGACAACTAGGTGTGAGTAAAGAACTATTCCTTACTATGTGATCTCGGGCCTTGGGCCTACCCGATCCAGGTACTGAGCTCATCCTGGTGCTTCTGAAGAGAAAGAGGAAGACCAACATGGCTACTGATGGCTTCCTCTCCCCTATTCCAACCAGAAAGGCAGCTGTCTTGAATCAGACTTAGGACTGCCTGACATTCTGCAAATCACCCAGTCCACAGAGGGGCTATAGCAGGGAAATCATACCCCTGGTGAGTACCTGTCACTTCATTTCCCCAGCTGTAAAATGAAAATATAATGATTTTGAAGGTCCCTAGCTACTCTAGTATTCATCATAATCTAACAGTGAAGGACGTAATCATCCAGGGGAAAAAAAGAATAAAACACCCTAAGTGCAAGGACCAACATGGGAACAACATAAGGAATGTGCCTGGTCCATTATACACATAGGTATCTGTGAGGTATCGTTAATACCACTTTGTAGATGAGGAAACAAAAAAAGCTTGCAGCGGAAAGGTTCACAAAGTCAGTGAACAAAGTAAGTGGCACAGCAACAATCCAGGCCCACGTCTGGAATTGTAAATGTAAAGCAGGACGGGCACCTTGGTTGTTTGGTTGGCTTCTTTTGGAGGGGAGAGTTCATGTAATGTGAAAACACTCCTAAGGGATGTCATGTCAGACCGACACCACTCTCAACCCCATTAAGAAGCACAGTTCTTAAGTCCATCAGCCTCTGTCATGCCCTGCCTCTTCAAAGATGCCAGTCACGCCCACAGGGAGGTGTGTAAAAGGACTTCTGTATTCCAATCCTGAGCAATCATTCAGCCCAGCCTGCACCACGCTCTAGGCTGGAATGAGAAACAAAGAGCACTTCCACAAAAAGCCTCCCGAGACATCAGTAGGGGCAGTTTATGCCCATTTTAACGGTCAGGACACCGAGGTCCAGAGAGATGATGTGGCTTGTTGACATGGGAAGCTACTGAGTCAAGACTGTAATAATCCAGAGCATTCCACTGCCTCATGTAAAAGAATCTGACACAGGGCTTTTTTGAGCTTCTTTTGCTAGGCCCGCTCCAAACTCTCTGGAGTGTACTTTCTCTTCTAATAATGGCCCTTGAGCCATACTCTACTGCTTGGACACACTCCTGCTTCTTTGAAATGTATTTTTTTCTTCTAATAAACTGTCCTTTTCTGCAACTTTAAGAAAAAGAAAAAAAAAAAAGAATCGGACACAGGCCTGGGGGGCAAACCTAGCTAGAAACTCATCCCTGGGGCTGAACCAGGACTGGAACGTGTAACTAACCTGTAACACCCAACCTTAAAGCTCAGTGTTCAGATACAGAAACCACCTGCCCAGTTTTTTTGCTCAGGAGAGGAAGGCATTCTAATAGGTGTGAGGGGAGGTGCAGCGTGGAGCGAATCAGCCAGTCCTCTCATCACACAGGCCAAATCAAAGAAAACAAGGTGCCTCCGTTTCACGTGACAGGGCACAGCCACAAACAATTAGGGCTGATGCCTTTGCAAAACTCTAGATCAAAAATCAATCTCAGGTGAAGAGGGTGAAAGCAGCCCAGCCTGATAGTCCCGCTTCTCATGCACCTCCTAACATTCTCCAAGAATGCCACAGGCAGAGGCTCTCACGCCTTACGAAGTATCATAATTATAATTACAACAGGCTTTACTGAAAGTGTTGAGGCTGCGGTAGGGGGGCTTTCATTTTGCATGAACACCCGCCCCTCCGGCGCAGGTGCGTTTGTTGCAGGTGGCTCCCGAACTCACTCACCTACAAGCACTGCCTTACCTCACGCAGGAGCCCAGTGGAGAGCAAGAGGAGGGCCCTTGGCTCGAAGTCCTGAACTTCCCGCGGCCGCCCCGTCTCCCTGACCCGCCCGCCCTCTCTTCCCTCACCTCCAGCCCCGTGGACACCGTGTCAGGGAAGGCCACGGCCGCTGCGGGGACAAGGCGGGGAGGCGAGGGTCTGAGTCGGCGACACCGTTCGCCGACGCCGCAACCGAAGCCTCCCCTCCCGCCCTAGCTCGGGCGGTCGCAATACTTACTAGCCATGGCTCTACCTGGAGGCAACATGCGCAGAGGTGGCTGAGGGGAGACCTTACACAGACACCGAGCGCTGCGAAGGGCGGGGCAAAGCCTCGCCGGAAGAGGCGGGGCAATGCGTCGGAAGGGGAGGGGCGAGGCGCCCGAGGTTCCGCCCCCTCCCAGACTCCGGGCCCGCCCGCTGCGCTGGGAGGGTCTTCCTGCTCGCTTCATCTATTAATCGCACGATGTTTGCACTGGGATGGAAAAACGAGAAACGGCTAGTTACAGTAGCACAGTCTGGAAAAAGGAATGCCTCGAAAGGCAAAAGGACAAAGAGGGGGGCAACTTAAATCAGGGGGTCGTGCTTGTAAATAATTCACAACTGGCCTCTCCAATTCTGAGCAAAAGGACAGAGTCTCTTGTTGGTTGGATTAGCTCCGTGACCATGGGTAACGCCGTGAGCCGATTGCCTTGGGCTATTTGAACAAGTCGCTGTGACGGGGATGAAATTTTCCTGGTTGGTTTAGGCTCTGAAGACGTCAGTGGGATCTGACTACAAGGTGAGGGAAGGGAAAAGAAAAACTAAGGGTTCAAATTCAAGACATTCAACAATTCAGTCCTCTAACAAACTGAATGAAATGTTTGCAAATATTGTTTTAGAATTTTTGCATTTATATTAGTGAGGATTGCTTTCTGATTCTTGTGTTTGTGCCTTTGTCAAGTTTGGGGATCAAAAAGTATAAATAAAAACTTGCTATCCTTTTTAATGCTCCGTAATAGTTTAGATCATATTGATATGGATCCTAGTTTTTAAAATGAGGCTATAAAACCATTTTTAGGACAGAGATATTTAAACATGAACTGGATATTTGATGCCTTAATGAATTTTGTGTGGTACTGGTATTGTAATTATGCCAGACAACATCTTGACTCAGGAGATACATGAAGTAGGGGTGAAGTGCCAGATGTCTGACTTGAAAAAGAAAATATGTGCTAATATAAAGCAAATATGGAAAAATGTTAATTATTGAATCTACGATGAGGATATATAGCTATAAAGTTTTAAAATTTAAAACTTTCGTAATAAAATGCGGGATAATAGCAATTAGGGGTTTCTGCAGCTTGAACAGACTATCTGGACCAGGCTTTGTAGCAGGAAGGTCTTTAATAACCTTTTAATTTCTGCTATGCTTATTAGCCTATTGAGGTTCCTGAGTCAATACTGGACGCTTACAATCTTAAAAAAAAAATCAACCATTTCATTAATATTTGCAAGCTTATTGCCATAAAGTTGTATTTACCAGTGGTTCCAAACGTGGCTGGACAATGTTATTGGAACATCCAGATGGAGATTCCCAGCAGGCAATTGGGCATAAGCCTCAAGCTCACATGTCCAGGCTGGAGATTGCTTTTGCGTCATCAGCAGTTCAAACTGAGACAAAGCTCTGAAAGTGGATGACAACAGGCGAGTGGACTGTGCAAGGCACAGGCAGAAGAGGGGCCTGTGGAGCCTGGGAAGGAGCGAAGAGGTAGGAGAACCAGAATAGCGCCATCAAGATTAAGAGCCTGTGGGTGCTGTGTTCCCTACATCCCATGCAGGGAAGCTGCTTACTTGGATAGAGATTATTTCTAAAGAAAGGCAAGGTAATAAAAATGAAAACATTTTTTGAGCTTCCCTTTAGAACTTTGTGGGCAGAATGGAAAAGCTAGTTGCTGGGTTCCATTTCTGCCTCTGCCACTAATTTGAGGTTAACACCTAGGGCACCTCACTCTCAGGACATTTCATCACTTGTAACATCAAAGGACTTAGAGGCAAGAGGAGAAGAGGCGGAGTTTGTGCAGCCCTCCCTGCCCCTTCAACCGCAGCAGCTCTGCCTTCATGTTTCCATGGTCTCTCATCTGACATTTGAAAAGTAGCCAAAGAATTAAACTACTAAACTAAATGGATCTCCAAAGCCCAGCTAAAAAGCTGGTATTGCAAACCATCTCTCACAGCTGTAATGACCATTTCCAGGCTGGTACTGGTCAGATTTGACTCGAGAGGAGCTATTCCAGCATCTCCAGCTGCCTGTAATCCATCCCTGTTTACGTGTCTTGACATCAGTTCAAACTCAACTATCTGAAACTGTATCTATCATCTCTAAAAGACCTTTTCCTCCCAGCTTCCCTTTTACTTACAGGCACCACCATTTGTGCTGTTTTCCAATTCTCTACTCCCTATCCTCTCTCCACAAAATCTGTCACTTGTGTCTTTCAAGTCTTTTATCCCCAACCTGTGGTTAGGGACAGGTCCCTTTTTACTCTCCTAAAGTACCCCTTGATTCCTGCCTCCTTTTCTGTCCCCATGACCACTGTCCATGGCTAGGCCTTCCTCATTTGGGGGAGACTGTTATAGGCAACTCATAACTGGTCTCCTTTCCATCAGCATCTTATCCTCTAATTGCTCCTTCATAGTTTTAGGGAAGTTAGTCTGGGGGGACATAAGTTTAATTTTGGGGGGTGAGGTAGATATGCAAATGACTAATAGCAGAGATGAAGGGCTGAAAATCAAGAGGAAGAACTGGAATCTCTGCACAGAATAAGAGCAGGAACTCTTAAGAGTGGAGCTCCTAGAAGGAGAGTGCATGATACTATAAAAAACAAAGGCTCAAACTTGGGAATTATCATATTGGGTTTAGAGCTTTGCACAGGGAGACTCCCAAGGGCATGTGTGTATAAATATACACATACACATATAGATATGTCTAATTGTTTCTAAATTTCTGATGCAGTTGTCTACAAATCAGAAGACATGAGTTCAAAACTTTGCTCCATCACTTGCTCCAAGGCCTTGTGACTTTAGGCAAGTTACTTAACAGGAATAGCAACTTAATATATCTACAGGGGATAGAAAGGTACCTATGGAATGAAGGTGGCAACTTGAAGAGACAAAATGAGCAGTGAACTGAAAAAGAACACACTCTGGCCTACTGTTTCCAGGCCAACATACAGCAGAGGCTGGGCATAGTATAGCAAGTAAAGAGCGTGAACTCTGGAATTAGGTTGTCTGTTTTTAAACCACTTATTGCTGTATGATCTTAGAAGTCACTTACCCTTTTTGTGCCTTAATTTCTCCATCCATAATATGGGGATAATAGTACACAGAGCATAACATTGTTGTGAGGATCACAAAACTCCTGATTTTTAAATGTTGCTACCTAGTTCATATCAAAAATTCTGTGAGCCACACAAAACATCATATTCAGCCTTAAGCAGCCAGCCAGTTTGCAACCCCTGCTATTTTTTTTCATTCATTTGTTCTGCAAATAAAGGATGACCACTACATGTCAGGCACTGATATAAGTACTGGAAATACAGTGACTGATACTTCACACTCATAAAAATTAGTTTAGTCTAAATTTCTTTACTCTGCCTCCTCACAAATTAGTTGAAAGGATCAGATAAGAAATGTGAAAATTCTAAGAAAACAAAATCATAAATGTTGTACTTTGAAAATAAAATCTATGAGCTATTTATTTTTTTTAAAGATTTTATTGGGGAATTGGGAGAGGGGAACAGCGTTGGAGAATCGGGGTAGGGGAACAACAAGTTGCTGTCCTTTTTGTTCTTCAGTCTAGTTGTGGAGGACGCCGCTTTACTGGCCCATGTTGGTATCATCATTGCGCTCTTTCCGAGTGAGGCAGTCGCTTGCTGGCCATTGGACAGCGGCTCACGGCAGCTCACACCGGCTTCCGACCCCTCACGCTGGCTGCCAGCCACTCACCATAGCTCATGGCAGCCCGCTGCAGCCTACGCCATCGCTGGGGACTCACGGCAGCCCAGCTCCAGGTCGAGCTGTTGTTCACCATCTTAGCTGTAGAGGGCACAGCATTACTGGCCCTCGTGTGGGATCCGAACCAGGGCCCTACTGCTCAGAGCTGGTGTCCCAAGGCAACTCTTAACCAATGCATCACTCTGCCGGCCCCAGTGAGCTATTGATTTTTAAAAATATTTTCATTTCCTGATCTTTCTGATGTAGTTCTATGGGTTTTAATACATTATAGATTTGTGTAACCACCACCACCACAATCAGGATACAGAAGTTTCAGCACCCTACAAATTCCCTTGTTCTGCTCCTTCATAACAAACCCTCCCCTCACCCCTAGTAACCACTGGTCAGTTCTGTCCCTATAATTTTGCCTTTTCCAGAAATGTAATATAAATGACATCAGAGTATGCATTTTGAGAGTGACTTCTTTCATGTGGCATTATGCCTTTGAGAGGCATACCTGTTACTTGTATCAATATTTATTCCTTTTTATTGTTAAGCATTATTACACTGGATGGATGTACTAATCTGTCCACTAACCTACTGAAGGAATTTGGGATGTTCCCAGCTTTGGGCAATTTAGGACTGTTACAAACATTCTTGTCCAGGTTTTTATGCAAATGTAAGTTTTAATTTCTCTAGGTTAAATACCTAGGAATGGGATTGCTGGGTTATACGGTAAATGTATGTTTAACTTTATAAGAAACAGCTGAATTTGTCTAGAGTGGCAGTACTGTCTTGTATTCCCACAAGCGATGCATAAGTATTCTAGCTGCTCCACATCCTCACCGACACTTGGTATCAGCAGCTTGTTTTCAATTTCAGCCACTCCAATTCAGTGTGTAGTGGTATTATTGTGGGTTTCACTTGCATTTCCCAATGGCTATCTATATGCCATCTATTTATCTATTTTGAAGTACTTGTTCAAATCTTTTGCCAGTTTTTTAATAGGGTTGTTTTCTTATTGAGTTTTGAAAGTCTTTATATATTCTTAACACAAATCCTGTTTGATAAGTTTTGCGAGTTTTTTTCCCCCCAGTAGCTTGTCTTTTCATTCTATTAACAGTGTCTTGCAGAGCAAAATGTTTTAAGTTTGATATAGTCAAATTTATTTTAAAAATTTAATGTATTATACTTTTTGTTTTTAAAAAGATTTTATTGGGGAATTGGGGAAGGGGAACAGACAAGTTGCTGTCCTTTTGTTCAGTCTAGTTGTGAAGGACATCACTTCACTGGCCAATTTGGTATTATCATTGAGCTCTGCCTGGGTGAGGCAGTCGCTCGCTGGCCATTGCACGGCTGCTCACGATGGCTCATGGCAGCTCACGAAAGCTCACACCAGCTGCCAGCCAGCCCCACTGCAGCCTATGCCGTCGCTGGCAACTCACAGCAGCCCAGCTCCAGGTCAAGCTGTTGCTCACCATCTTAGCTGTAGAGGGCACAGCGTCACTGGCCCTCATATGTGGGATCTGAACTGGGGCCCTGCTGCTCAGAGCTGGTGTCCCAAGCCAACTCCTAA